TTTTTTTTTTTTTTTTTTTTTTTTTTTACCAGGGATCGAACTTGGGACTTTGCATTTGCGAGGCAGGCAGAGGAACCAGTGAGCTAAATCCCCAACCCCTCCCAGCCTCTCTTTTATTTTTTATTTTGAGATAGTCTTGCTAAGTTACCTAGGTCAGCTCAAACTTGGGGTCCTCTTGCCTCAGCCTCCCAGAGAACCCACATTATAGGTGTGAACTACCACCCCCATCTAAAACCCACTGTTTTGAGGTAGGACACCATTGAGACATGGGCCTGGGCATGACTAAGCACACCTGACCACTTCTGCAATCCCTCACCGTGCTCTGCCACATGTGCTGGGGATAGGGGAACCCCCCCAAATTCCCTTAACATTTTATTGTGCACCTAAATCCGCCACTGGCTTCCCAGGAGACAACTATGAAGCTACAGACAGCCCCTAGTGGATGACGTATCTGGAAAGCGTGCAGAACAGTCAGCCACACCAACTTGGCAGTGTTGTCTGATCGCTTAGGCTCAGTAAGGACCTGGCTTCCCTCTAAGCTCATTTCTGAAACTGGGCCAGCACCCAGTGCACAAGTAGGTCTCCAGGCATCTGCATCTCACCAGCCGAGGCCACCAAGAGGGGCAGCTATAGAGGCCCAGGCTCCATTGCCACACACTATGGTGGCTGCAAGGAAGGCCCTCAGGGCCTCTTTGGTTTGACCAGGGTGACAGGAAGAGGTCAGAAGACCTAGTGAGCTCTTACCCAGCCAAATGTGAGTGTCACCCCATCCTCCCCAAGGTGGAATAAGCGACTTTCACAGTGTTCTAGAACATTCTAGCACTAAGCTGTGTGCTTCTTGGGGCATAATGCCGAGGATCTCCTGTGCTTGGCATGATATCTGACACACAGCAGCTTGGAAGAAACATTTGTCATATTGCATTAAATAGTAATGAAGGAGCCAGAACGGCACCCGCTCCTCAGGCAACCAGGAATAACTTCATAGCCTGCCAAAATTAACTAAGGCCCCAAGGCCATCACATGTGGTCTTTTTGTTTTTCCATCCTTGGTCTCTGCACACCACATCACATCTCTGTGTTGACCTCTCTGGCTGCGTCCCTCTGCTTCTCCCCGAGCTGTGACCCTGGAACAGACAGCAGCTGCTTCTCTGATGCCAGTCATCTCTTTATTCCGTTAGTGACCAATACAACAGCACCACGGACACAGCTGGGGGCCCTGCCCAGGGACCCCGGGAAGGCAAAGAGGGTGGACTCAGGGCCTCCAAACCCTGGGCAGGGCTGGCCGAGGTGAGGGGACACCTGCCACCTGCCACCCCCAGCACTCTGGAGAATGGCAAGCCTGCAGAGCCCATGACAGGTGATAGTCGGATGCCCTGCCAGCCACCAGCCTTCCCCACAGCACCAGGGGTGGGAGGGTTCCAGGCAGGTCTGGGGAAGGCCTTGCGGGTCGGCTGAGGGACGCTGTTTGGAAGGGACTGCATGTGTGTGCTTGTGCATGTATGTGCGTTCCTTTGTGTATGGGGGAAAGATGGCCACGCTACTTAACATATGGGATTCAACTGCTGAGCCGCAGGACCTGCCTGGGGACAAGGAGGCCAGGAACCAGGGATTCAGGAGCTTTAGAGCCTGAAAGGGCACAGGACAGGGACAGGTGCTCCCACCGACCTCTTCCCCCAGGAGAGGACAGGCAGCTCCGCTGGAGGCTGGTCTCGGAGCAGATGCCTCCCTCCACTTCTGGCCTTTCCCTGTCACGTGTAGGCCATCTTGCTGCACACCCAGGGCCGGGTCGTCAGACACTCCGTCGACACTAGCCTGGTGGGCTCCACGAAGACACACTCGCCTGGGCCTGAGATGGTGAATCTGTGACCGGGAGAAGACACCAGGAGCTCAGGACTGCCACATGCAGCCATCACGGGCAGCCCGAAGGCCCTGAGGCACATGCCCACCCTCACGTCACCTTCCAAGACAGAGCCAGCCTAGGGCACCTTCCCAGCATGACCTCCCTGTCTCCCTGCCCTGTGTCCCACGGTCTCCTCCCGTCTCCACCACCTCTCTCCATCCTCCAAGGGTGGCCGCCACAACCCAGGCTCCAGAGACCACACAGCATCCTACCAGCCCTGCAGACACCACTCATATGTGCCTTGCAGGGGGCTCTGTCTATTCCCACAGTCCCCAGGCAGCCAGCTTTGGAACGGTCTCTATCTTTTTAGAACAGTCTCATGTTGGCTCCCAACAAAGCCTGGTGTGGAGCACACAAGGGCTCAGTAGAAACACGCTGAATCACAGTATCCACACGGGCAAGGGATGGGCAGGAACAACACCAGTAACACTGGTCAACTGGTGTGTTGACACCGAAACCATGCATGGACATGGGTGTGTCATGAAGACACCTCATTTGCTCACCCTGATCCCAGATCCCTGGCAGTTGGGGGTCCCACAAAAGCAGGGTGTTAGAAGGACCCCAGAGCTTTAGCTTTGGGAACGCTCCAGTGTCATCGTCATTGGGCTGGTACCCAGGGCCCAGTCCTCGAGGTTCTCTTCCCTATAGGCAGCCCGTGCCCTACATGTCCTTAAGCCTAAACTGCCCCCACATCCTGACACCATCATCACCTCCCTGCCACTGACAACACTAGCACACACCCCTCTGTGGGCCCCTCCACAGGAAGGTGCTTGCGCTGAGAATGCTCATGGGCAACTGTACTCAGATCGCTTTTCTTCCACAGTGATGATGCTTAGGCGGCACATGGCTGCCCAAACTGGAGGTTCCATTCCCCATCCTCCTGAGGGCCAGCTGTGGTCATGTGACTGAGCTTTGGCCAGTTGAGCAAGGCCATCCAGGACATCCCTCCCTTCTTTTTTCCTCCTCTGACCAATGGGGTGAGGTGATCTGGGACACGCCTTTCCTCGGTCTTTCCCCCTTCTGGCCTATGGGATGTGGAGGAGCCACACCAAGCATGTGTGCTGCACAGGAAGACTCAGGATAGAGAAAGCCTGTGCTCTTCCCCAAAGCTCTGAGGGCTCCGTGAGGCAGAGCCACCAAACGAGGCTGGACAAGTGAGGAGAGGGAACTAAAGCCATTTTCATGAATGGCTCACAGTCACACCCCACAGCTAGCATCTCTAGCTGGCATGAAACCGAGCATTTCTCTTGAGATTGGGTCCTGGGGGTCAGGCCTTCTTTTACAAGATGAAGTCACAGCTCACGTGTCTGGGTCAAACGGGTCCCCATTGACCCAGTGGAATTCATCCCCAACTCTGCGCAGACCAATCCAGGGCTCCCTCCGCGTGAACTTGAACATAAATTCCTGCAAAATCAAAGTGGAACAAAAGCATCCATGTCAAAGGCGCTGTCCTGACTGCTGCTTGTGCCACAACAAACCTTGGCTTGGAAGACACGGTGTCAGGGTGCACAGATCGGGAGTGTGATGTGGCCTGGAGACTGGAAGTGAGGAGCCAGAGGACAGAACTCTCTGAGGTCCCTGAGCTCCTCATAGCCGCCCCCAAGAGCCTGCAAGGGCCCTGGCTCTGGTGTATGTAAGCACTGGCCAGGCCTGTGCAACCAGGCCCAGCCAGTCCTGGGCGGCAGAACGCTTGGGGACTCCCTCTGGATGGATTCCCTGGGACAAATCTCAGACTGGCCATCCTACCTTCGTTCTCCTGGGCCTTTCTCTGCAGAGGTGGCAGAGAAACCCTATATACCAGAGACAGAAGTGGGCTTCAGACTCTGCTATTATGGATTTCCGCCACACTGTGGCTTAACCCACACTGACCAAGATTCATTCATTCTTTTTCTTTCACATTTCTATTGATAAAATGGGTCAGGTTATTAAATGAGAGGGCATATCCTGATTTGGATCATTAGAAAATGCTGATTTTTGGGCCGGGGATTTAGCTCAGCGGTTTGGTGGCCTGCCTTGCAAGCACAAGGACCTGAGTTCAATCCCTAGTACAAAAAAAAAAAAAAAAGCGGTCTTTTTTTTTTTTTTTTGTACTAGGGATTGAACTCAGGTCCTTGTGCTTGCAAGGCAGGCCACCAAACCGCTGAGCTAAATCCCCGGCCCAAAAATCAGCATTTTCTTCTTTTTTTTTTTTTTTTGTACTAGGGATTGAACTCAGGTCCTTGTGCTTGCAAGGCAGGCCACCAAACCGCTGAGCTAAATCCCCGGCCCAAAAATCAGCATTTTCTTCTTTTTTTTTTTTTTTTTGGCTCAATTTAACAGTTTGGTTTTTTGCTTGTTTGTTCATTTGTTTTTTGAGACAGATTCTTGCTAGGTAGTCCAGGCTGGCCTTGAACTCACTATGTAACCCAGGCTGGCCTCGAACTCCTGGCAATCCTCCTGCGTTAGACCCCTGAGTGCTGGAATTACAGGCGTGTGCCACCACACCTGGCCATAATTGGTAATTCTTACACTTTATAATGCTGAGTTGGGCTGCAGTAAATGGCCTTGACCATGGAGGTGGACCTACTCAGGCCCTAAGGACCACCTGCACACTTATGGCTATGCAGCAGATGGGTGACCCCAGAGACGTGTCACAGGGAACACTGGCGTGTGGCTCTCCTCGGAGCCCAGGGGTTCTGGGTCACTCTCACCAGCTCCTTCTGGCTCTGGATCACAGCCAGCGCAGCCTCATGGGTGTGGCAATACTGTCTGCCCGTGTTCCAGTCTCTCGGTTCCTCAGAAAAGAAGTAGCACTTCCTTCCATAGAGCAGCCAGTCCTCTGGGCAGGGTGCCTCGCACTTGATACAGCCCTTGGAGGCTGTGGGGAGGAAACAGGGCTCAACACCTGCCGGCACAGCTGGCCACCACCTGGCCCCCATGGCTCCCCCCACCTTCCTCAACCTTGGTGCCCCACAGAGATACTACAGGTAAAGGATCAGGGACTAAATGTGTAACAAAAGGGAGGCTGGCAGATACCATCACACGGGGATGGGACCCCAGAAACTCAGACTGGGCAGAGGCCTGGAGGCCACACTAGCCAGGCAGCTTTGTCTACCGCTTAGCTGCTAGAAAGTTCTTGCTAGGTACTGAGTCCCAGCACACTGTCTTGTGACCTAGGTGTACCTCTGGGTGACCCAGAGCACACCCTTCTGTTCCTCTCCTCCTAGTCACTCCAATGCCATCTCCTTCGCGACTCCTCACAGGGATACCGCACCAGGACAGCCTGGGACCCATCTGCTGGGCTCTGCCAGCGGCACTGTGACCATATTGCTGTCAACCAGCCTTTAGGCTGTGGCAAATAGGCCAGCCCAGGGCTCCTTGCCAAGAGAAGTTAAACCCTGCGCTTAGACGGGACCTGCTTCTCAGCCAGGTGTCCCAGCACCTGGACAAGCAACACTCAGCCTTGAAATTTACTTCTACTTGTTCCTTCCACATTTCTGTCATTCACTTTGCCTCAGCATTTCCATTTTTAAAGGCAAATTTTAATCTCGATGCCCGCATTAATCTTGATGATCCCCCCATTCATCACATGGAATTGTGACTGTGGATTGCCTTGGCTACAAATTTGATATGCATGCCTGTTTGTTTGTTTTCATACAAGTGATGCAAGAGTAAGACAGCCAAGAATAAGCCCTTGCTACTTGGGAGTCTGCAGGGTCCTCCCCAGGGATCTACAGCCATGTGGGCCGCAATTAATTAGGGACAGTCCCTGGGCAGACCTGTTCAAGGCGAGGCAAGGCCCCTGAGAGTACTGACCACAAAGTGAGTCTCCCAAGAGACTGGTGGCACATTACTGAAATCATGAAGGGCCCTGTCTACACATTGCCCTGACCGCCCAGCCTAGCCAGAGGGGAAAAGAAAGGGACTTCATTCATGGCAGTTAGTCTAGCTAAGAACAAGCTGGCCCCAGTGACCACAGCATCCAGTTCTGAACACTCAAAACAGGTGCTTATCATGCAGGTCATACATGGGAGGACTTGATGGGCTTTCTCCCCATTTTAAGAAGTCTACCCTTGGTCTCACAGTGCTTCTCAAAGAGTAACAACAGAGGCAGTGAAAGCCCTTTTGCAAATCCTGCAGAAGCCACAACACACATTGACTTGAGTCACCCAAGATTAGCCAGAGTTCCCAGTTCATAATCACAAATCCTTTTTTTTTCTTTGACCCTATCATTCCCACAATTTACCAATGAAACCCAAACTCTTTCCTCCATTAAAAAAAAAGGTACATAAGCTTACACTTCTTTGAATTTTCTTTCTTTTCTGTTAATCCCCATAAAATGTACATATTAACAAAAATTTTGTCTTTTCTCCTGTAATCTGTTGTTTGGGTTAATTTGCATGCCCTGGGGGCATAATCTAAGAGTGTGGAAGGAGTTACTCCCCCGCCACCCACACACACTCTCTCCATCCCATCTCTGGGAAATTCCTACTTATTCATCACAGTTCAGTGTGTGTGTCTCCTGCTCTGGGAAGCCACCAGCAGTATCACCTCTCACTGCCCTTATCCCCAGAGAGAGGGGACACTATCACACCCACCTTTTAATTGCTATCACTTGGTCCGAGGCTTAAGAAGCAGCAGGGCTCAATAAATGTTTGTTCAGTTAATGTGATCTTTTTAAGTACTAGGGATTGAACCCAGGGCCTTCATAGTGAGCTAGATCCCCAGCCCTTTTTTATAAAATTTATTTTATTTTTTACTGTGACACAGGGTCTTGCTAAATTGCCAAGTTGCCCAGGCTGAGCTCAAACTTGCCGTCCTCCTGCCTAAGCTTCCTAGAGCATAATGTGAGTAAAGTCCCTTGCTGCCAAAACCATCTTCTGTAGGAATCACCATTTGTCTGACCTACGTCACATTTGTCCTGAATTGATAAGCTGTTGCATCATTTATGAAATAATACCCTGTCTACCCACACTGCTTACTAAAGGACCCTGGTGTAGCCCGTGTATGAATGTATTATTTTAGGCTAAAATCTCGCCACCAAAAACTAGCACTCTGTCTCAGACCTGCTCTGTCCCCCAGAGCTGTGGGGAGACCTGGAGCCTCTCTTTCCCTCTCAAGCTGTGCCTTGGACAGGCATGGGAACCTGGGAAATGGAATCGCACATGTGCTGACGAATGCACTCACCCAAGATGCTCATCACCACCAGGATGGCGAACAGCAGGACCGCAATGGCCCCCAGCAGGAGTCGCGTGGTAGTATCTGTGGAGAAGAGAGAGGCGCATGTCCAGCTGTCCACACTCACGTCAAGCTTGTGTTAGAACTTGACCCCATCCTGGCTTCATATTATAACGTGTGGATGCATCAGTTTACCCTTGCACCTGTTGATGGCCCTTGGATGGCTTCCACCTTTGCTTTCCATGACAAATGCACACAGATTTCTCTGTGTCCCTGTTTTCCTAGGTACATGCCTAGGAGTGGAGCTGCTGGACAGTATGGTGATTCTCTGTGGCTTTTGGAGGAACTGCCAAAGTGCCGTGACAAGAGCATTTCACATTTCTACACATTCTCGCCAACGCTTGGTGATTTTTCTTTCATTTTTTTCCACCTAAACCTTTGTTGTATATCATCTTGGCCACTAGGAATTCAACATAAGAATTCTGGAAGAGAACTACCATTCAATCCAAAATAACCTTCTTAAAAAGTGGCTCCTGGAACCCTCTGACTTGCTCCAATCTGTCTGGTTGTTTCCTAAACCCCCCTACCACCTTGGGGTCTCTGTACCAGTAGCCTGAGGATTTCCCTATCCCTCTGCTGTGCTGCCTTCCTGCTGCTTCTGCCCATTTTTTCCTCATCTCAGTTTACTCCTTTGTCATGCTGGAGCTCATCTTCCAACAACCATCTCAGAAAAGGTATAGCAGAAGCAATGTTTACACTGCCCCAAGGAGCAGCTCTTCTTTTCTACCCAGGGACCATGCCCTGGAGCTGTGAACTCAGAGGCCTGACTGTATCAGTTGGAAGGAATTCCTCAGAATTTCAGAGGTATTAACTCCCTTCTAGCACCAGTGTTGCTCTTGAAAAGTCAACACAATCCCACCTCCGTAATTATTCCTCCTATGCAATAATCCGAAATAGATGGAGTTGGAAGGTGTGTTTTTTTCAGGTTTCTAAATGTGTGTGATTTAAACTAATATTAGAAGGAACAACTAAAAATCTCTGGCTCTTAAACCCAGACAAAGCTCCCATCATCCTCGTGCCCGTGACCCAAAAAAGACGCCTGGCTGATGTCTCTAAACCATCAGGGGCAGAGCCTGGCCAGCAGCATCCTGACTATGAAAAACGATCAGACATGGAGCTTGATAATTTGTAAATCTGTAAGAGGATTTGCTAAATGTGCATGGGTGGTTTTGATCAGGAAGTTGTGGGTTTCTGCCTAATCCAGAAACTTTCAACATTAAAAATTCAGAATTGGTGAGCACTGAAAAAATCTATAGTCTAAGGTATATAGAATCACTCTGTCCCTTCTGTCTCACCCTGGCCACCCTCCCACCCCCAGCACCAGAAATATCTGCATCTCAGTCACCTCCATGTCCACAGAACCCAGCTACAGCTGTGGATCACCTTTGCAGCCTCTGGCTTGAACATGGGGTGAAGAAAACATTCAGTCCACAGGAGAGGCCCTGCCATGGGAGCTTAGGTCTGCCTTTCTGTTTATAAGGCCACTGCCCATGTAAGAAAGTCTCCAAGCCCTAGCTCTACCTCAGCTCTGGGCTACAGGGGCTCCCAACCTGGGAAGAAGCAGCAGGGTCTCCACTGGAGGTGGCAGCAGTCGGAGGGGCGGGGGAGAGAGCAAAGCACAATCCAGTTCCCTCCAATGAGCCTGGCAAACAGAAGTCCTTGCCACACAGGAAAGAGTCAGAGCGTTCAGATCAGACAGGCTGGGGCAAATCCCACGGGGGTTTCATATGTTAGCACCCAAGCTGTGTCCTTGGGAGGGATGCTTAGACTCTCAGGCTCCGTGCTCACCACCACCCCCTCAAGGTGAGGATTAGCAGTAACAAAGGTGAAATCCACAGGGCAGGTGCCTAATAACTGTCCTGAGCACAGTTATAGCAGAGCTCATGTGCTCCTGGAGGCTCAGCTGGGTGAAGTGTCTAAGCCAGGTGTGAGGCACACACTTGTGATTCCAGCACTCAAGATGCTGAGGCAAGAGAATAGCTGCAAGTTCATGGTCAGCCTGGGCTACATAATGAAACCCTGTCTCAAAAAGAAAAAAAAAAAAGAAAGATTCCCATCTCTCCAGATAGGTGCTTGGCTAGGCAGAGGTTCTATGGCCCTATATCCCATATCCAGTCAACAGTGGGTCATCACATGGAGCCCAATTTGGGGAGGTGTGGCTGGGGATTTAGCTCAGTAGTGCCACCGCCTGCCTCTCAAGCAAAAGGTCCTGAGTTAGATCCCCAGCACGAAAAAAAAATCCAATTTGGGAAGGCAAGTGGACTCAAGATCAGTATCCCTAGGCTCCCTGGCTGGGCTGCAGGGGTCCCGCATCTGGGAACTGGGACAAGGGTCTCCACGACAGAATGCACACACCTGGCCTTGGTCCATATGGCCCTCAGAGGTAGAAATCTGACTAAGCAAATGAGAGCCTCCTTGGTGTCAGAAGAGGGGAGCACTGGGCTAGGATGGTCCTCTCTGGTGCCATATTGCCCTGTTACACTGGATCCCCACATTCCTTCATCTTTCTGCACTATTCAGGCCCTGCCCTAGGCCCTGGGCATATCGCTGCTCTAACAGATTCCAGCCAAGGTGGACCCAGGACACCTGGACCAGCAGGGGGTGAGTCCCAAGGGGATGCAGACTGTACATACTGAAAGTCCTGTGGAGAAGTCAACAGGCTGATAGGCCAAGGGCCAAGAACCCCAGGCATTCGGGGATAGGTTGCTTTGGGTGCACCCAGGTGACCCAGGTGCCTGAGTCACAACCAGGCAAGGAGCCACGCCAGGACAGGTGAGACAGGGCTGGACCACAGGTAGATGCCACACTTGAGGTGGGCAGGACGGTGCCCAGAGAGTCTCTGGTCCTTTTCCTGCTCCAGGTGGCTCCTCTCCTGCTAACGGCCAGGCTGGACAGCCGCAGTCGGCAGGTGGAACCATCCACACAGTCCCCACACCTGGGTGCAGATGCTGCCCTGCCCTCATTGCCTTGTGCTCAGTCCCACCCCAGGCCAAGTGGAAACCCACCCTCCAGACCCTCAACAGCCCCTAACCCTTGGCATGGCCTGCAGGATCCTTCAGGTCCCTCTTCCCCACCTTGCCCCATCCCAGGACACTGGCTCAGTTCCTGTCCCAGGCAGGGCCAGCTCCAGCTACCCACCTCTATCCCCTCCACACCCCTAAGTCCTCACCTACTCCAAGAAGCCTTCCAGGAAGACACCCCTTCTTAGTGAATGCTGCCAGGTCCCCTCTGCCTCCGGACTTGGGGTGCCCAGGAGCACCCTTAGAGTGCGGTGAGCCCTCTCTCTCTTGTCCCCTCCAGCATTTCTAAAGCCAATGCAAGTTTCCTGAACGAACTCACGAACTTGAAATCCACTCCCACTGTGGGTGCTGCCCCCTGGCCAGCCAGCCGTTCCCTGAGCCAGTGCAAAGGGACAAATGGGACCTGATCTTGAAAGGAAGAACCCCTTGGGGACCTCCCCACCGCCCCACCTCAGCCAGCAAAAGAAGCAGATACCACCTTGGGGCGCTGCGCGCTCGTGACTGTGCTCAAACCGTCACCACCGCACGTGCAGGCGCAGGACAGCCCGAGCCCTTCCCGCGGGAACCCAGGGCTCGCAGCACGAAGCCGGCTTCCAAGGTCAAGGGAAAAGCTCGAGGCAGAGGTAGCATCGGGTCCCTGGCACCAGCCCCGCACCCGGTGGCATCCGAGGGCCCTGGATGAGTGGGTGTCCGGTCCCCGGCGCTCTCCAAGGTGACCGGGCAAGACGCGCCGCGCTTACCCTCCAAGGCTGCCTTCCAGCTGGTGCTGCCTTCGTAGCCCGAGCCTGATCGCCGCAGCAGCCCCTCGGG